GTAAAATCACTGACGTTCCACGCGGTCGTGCGCCCCGACACCAAAAGTCAACAATACCTATTACCTCGGGACTGTCCGCGTGTTCGCTTGCATATGTCAGCATCTGGTGTCGCTAGTATGAAACTTCATAACCAAGCGAAAATTATTAGGGTAAGGTGCCTAATTAGCGACCCCCTTTATTTGAGCCGTCATTGTTCACGCTCTGTGGGTGCCACTGTGTTACTGGCTTGATTTTTTGGAGAGATCGTTCATTTTTCTATTAAAATATAGTCATTTTCTGCCCCAATATTCACTAGCTTATTTGTAGTGAGCATTTTAGCAAACCATTGCAAAAAAAACGCTAATAGGGAACTCTTCCCGATTAGCGACCGGGGAGGGTCGCTTATAAGTGACAAGTCTATGGGTTTCCCCATATTAAAAATGGCAAAAAATGCGACGCCTGAAAAGATGAAATATGATCTCAAAAAGGTAACCTATACGCAGAGCACTCAATCACTCGAACAGGAACGTTTATCCAACACATTTACGTAAGTAAAAACTGATCACGTGATGCACCAAAGGCGAAAAGAAGGCGGAAACCCAAATTTTGCGGGCTATCTTGTTTGATATTCGAGGTCCGCGCTGAATTCGGCACCCCTGCAGTCGGTGACGACATTTGGCATCCCCTGCCACACATTGCAAGCTTCGGCAACACCTCATTTTCATTTCCCTCTTTTCCCCTTTCTTTCCCTTCATAAATATGAGTTGCGACACATTTTTAACCGCCATGCTGTGCACAGTTGAGCGATTCACTATGGGAAAACGGCAATCAATTAAAAAAGGAATGTCGATTTAGAATAAAAAAAGGTGCATCATCCTAATGTGCATCGCTTTTCATTAGAGAGGGCCTAAGCACACACGTTTTGGATAAGAAACTCGTCATTTTTATTTAAACTTACCTGAAACGTCCCACCAGAAACATCGACGACCGGAAAATAATTTAATTTGATAACCAAAATATGGCTGACCTTTTGACGATGTTTTTACCCCGTTTCCTCCTGCCAGTTTTTCTGTAGGGAGGTAGGTCGCAAATCGGAAAGGGTCGCTAATTAGGCACCTTACCCTATACTTGACCTCAAACTGTAAAAAAACGCTTCATTTTCCTTAAAATTGCATGTTAAATGTAGTATAACCCATGTTTTCACCATTCCGTCATTTCAAAAAATCATTAAAAATATCATTCGACGGTCAATTTCCTTGTTCAACGGTCAGATTAAAGATAATTTTATAGAGACTTAGTAGATACTTGAATTAGCGTGCACTTTTTTGAGATGTGATGCACTAATGAGTTTTAGTGGGCGAACGGCCGAAAAATTACCTTCCGTTCTCATAAATGGGAACGCCCGTTCCCATATTTGGTAACTCCGTTCCCAAAAATGGGAACGTTCCTATATTTGGGTACTCATGACCATAGAGTTCCACCTACTGATTTTTTGGTCAGTAACTTGGTAGGTAGGCTGCAGGGGTCTCAAATGCTGCCACACATTTTGAAAAGTCACTAGACTTTTCATTTATTGAGATATTTATGCAAAATTAGATTTTATTTGTCTTGTTAAATGATTTTACTGAACAAAGCATAATCTAACCTGATTTAACCATACCTATGACCTACAACCTACCAACCTACGAACCTACAACCAGCAAACCTTATACAGAATACCAACAACCTACAACCCAAGGCCGTATAAGTTAGCTACAACCTACCTACCAACGTGCAGCGAAATTTGCCTACAGCGAAATTCATGTAAATATCTTGAGAACTGGTGTCTAGGGACTTTTCTCAAATGAGTGGCAGCATGTGAGACACCTGCTTTATGATGACCAGTAACATTTTTTGTTAAACTCTAGTTTCCTACTTATCCTATTTTTTTTTATTTTTTTTTTTATAATAGAATGAAAAATAATGTTTATGGATATGAATGTTGAACAGTAACCTACATGTGATGTCTCTCTCAGGTGGCAAGAAGAAGCCTCTGAAGGCACCTAAGAAGGCAGATAAACAACTTGATGATGTAAGTTGCAATGGTCTGTGCTTCAAATAGCTAGCAAATTTCATTTAATATTTGTTTCCAGCAGACTAATCATGATACTTTTTGAATGACCTCTCCTTGAAATTGTATGTTAGGTAAGATAGGTATATATTTTACAAAAAGTCATATACAGAAATGATGTCTATCTTCACCTGAAATACCTATCTTACCTAACATACAATTTCAAGGAGAAGTCATTCAGAAAGTGTTTTAAAGTACAAATGCTCCTTGCACAAGCATTAAAAAGACTGAAAGTAATCATGATACTTTGTCATTAAATATACTTCCTTTTGGGTTCAGAGTATGCCATGAAGGATTAACTGATGCTTTCAAAAATTAGGAAATAAAATTATCATCTTGCCTGAAATGTATGCTATGATACCCCTTTTTCCTATAAGTCAATCACATTTTTATGTGATGACACTAGGCATTCTATATTAAAATAATTTTCTATTTGTTAACTATTCCAGTCAGATGTGGAGTTCAAGAAAAAGCAGCAAGAAGAGGCTAAGAAACTGAAAGAGCTTCAGGCAAAGGCAGCTGGCAAGGGGCCACTGGGTAAGCTACTTCTATTTAATGAGGATTGTATGTGATTGTTTTACCCAGTGAGTCAGCCACATCTTGTTTGGAGAAAGATTTTATTTTGATAATGGATAGTGGATACTGATTACTGCATGTAAGGATAGGTATACCTAATTCAATCAGCCTGTCAATTGTGAAGGCACGTCTTATGAAGTCACGATCCTGAGGGACCCACCCTCTTGGATGGTGGATGCACTCACACTCTCATATTTCTAGTCTCGGCCATATATTCCCCATCTTCCATTGTCATTCGTGAGGGGGGTGAGGTCAATCACTCTGTATCTGGTACTCACAATATGGGCCATTAACAGTGTCAGTCATAGTAAATCATTAATGAGCTGCGATTGATTGTTTTGGTGTCTCTGGAACGTAGGTACTCACTTGATATGAAGTCATCGTTCAGATACGTTCTGTGCTTACCAAATTGTACGTTTGGAAATCCGGAGACACGATGCTGTGGCTATTTTGGTCAGGGGTGATTAGGCAATACTCTGCATACTCTGTCTCTATCTAGACCACTTGTAATGTCGCGTACCCTCATTGACAATTCCATTAAAAATGATGCCAGGTAAAGCTTCCATTGCACTGTAAATGGTTCCATAGCGCCTGTCATCTTCTGTACGTTTTTCGTTTTTCAATGCCTACTAAAATGAAAAACTTTCGGCACAACTCGTAATGGGCACTGAATGCCTTCGCCACTGCGTGGATCTATTCAGTAATTTGTTTTGTTTGCTTTCTGTTTCTTGTTGAACCTTCATATGCCCTGAAAACATCTGGTAACTCCTTTTTATAATTGCTTCTGCTAATTGCACGTAAATTAACTTCCATTACTTTTTCCAGCGAGTGGCGGCATCAAGAAATCGGGGAAGAAATGACACCGGTGTACCCATCCCCCTCCCCCGCGCCGTCTTCTTCCCACTCGCGCCGAACCTGGTCTCACCACGGCAGACAGCGTTTCTGGTGGACACCTGAACGGTGCCGTCAGCGCCCTCTCTGCCGACACCTGCCGGCGAACGGAGGCCACTACAGCCCAATCTGCACGGCAGCCTGACCGGCAGAAAAGTGCTACAAACGCTCGCTGTTTCGTGGTGATCTCAACCCGGCCACTCTTAATAAATGGTTATCTGATGTAGTACCTTTTTTACTATTGACCTCTGGCCAGTGTCGGATATTAAGCCATAAAACTATTTGTTCATCGGAATTTCACACACTGAAGCTGGATTCCAAACAAATCGCTTATGGGTTTGCATAGGGTTTTGCCATCGTTGCATTGTGTCGGCTCTCAAATAAACTATAAAGCTTATTGCTTTGTATTATGGGTTTGCAGTGGAGCTGCTAAAAAAGTCTGGCAACAAGCTTCGGTAAAACTTGAATTGCTGCTAAGACCTTTTAAGCGCTTATGGGGCTGACATTGGTAATTATGAATTGTCAAAGCGATAAGTGTTGTTGTGATCAACGTAATATTTTGATCTTATCTTCTTCGCTCGATGGAGATTGACTTAAACAGGAGCTGCCCACAACTCATGCTAATTTACCAGCATGCTCTGTTGAGCAAGCGCGATTTTGCGGCACATCTGTTAGTAGTAGTAGTGTACCTACCCAAAGTTACGAACCACTGAAATTTTGCGAGTTCATTCGGTTTCAATTTTGACCGGTATGTCGGTGGGCACGAAACGCCGAAAAGTCGCACATCTAGACAGTCATGTATGGATGTAGGCACGTCTCGTATCTCGCCATCGGGACGTTCTGGAACGCGAACCGGGTGTCGTTGTGTCGGTGTATCATTGCCATGCACCGAGGTCGGACATTACCTACTGTTGTCACATCTCGGTCACCGGCCGTCGTCCCATTTATCGACGGGTGTGCTCCGACCGGTGCAGCAGCTCCGGCTGCCTCGGCGCACCGCTTACAACTGCCATGGGGAATTATCACAGCAGGGTGAATGTCTTAGCTGTGGTGACGGTTGAGCTATTGCAATGGCTGATTTTGTTCTTGCATAGGTAGGTGTTTCAATGTGATACTCCATAGTTGCTACCTTTTTAGCTTGTATAATTAGGTTCTTTATCTGTGTGGTGAACTGTTCAGCTTATTGGTCATCTTCATCTTCAGTAAGGGTAATCGGACCTGGCTAAGGAAGTGATATGCCTCAAGTATTTTACACAATATTGACTGATTGTTCCCACATTCGACACTCCTAAAGCATAGTTAGGAGGCGCCTGATCCTATCAAAAAGCTTATCAATATGACAACGAAATTATACTTCTTGGATTTGACTTCTTTGGCAGGACTTACTTACGTTGGTCCGTTTACGTTTTAGCTACTCTGTTGTTAAACATATGAGCCCACGTCTCAAGTACACAGCCGTTTTATTGCTGTAACTCGGCAGTCTTACATGGTCCATACACACACGACATTAACACTTATGATTAGGATCAAGATACACGCATGGCTTTCGCTGAAACAGCTAGGGGAACATCATTGAATTTGACCGACATGGATCGATTGGTTTGACGTTTATTGTGTATATTATCCTGAAAATAATATCGAGACGTGAGAGGTTCTTGTGAACACATGCAGTTAAAGCTGAAGTAAATGTCGAAATGAAATTGTATTTGATCGCGAATCGGGCAACGCGTTTCCTATGATTTAAGCACTGCCCAAGGGATGCTTGCAATGCCCCATGCATCATTTACTTAGCCTTTCTGCTGATTACGATCACTTCTCTGTCGCATACTTCTTGCCAACGAGGTCTACGCAACCCAATACATAACCCTTGTGGCTATGAGCCACCATTCATCATAGGCCCACACAACTCTCCTTCTCAAGCTCGCATAAATAATGTCCAACCGGCGAGGCAATTCGACCAGCAGACTATAACAATAACAACAACCGATAACAATAACAACAAACACACATTCTGTGAGGACCACCCTCCGGAACTTCCATTCACCGTTCCCAGCTCTCCGCTGCGGGGGCCGTGCGGCGCGGTGTGGGGCCGCTCGAGCTCGCGCTGTGTCCCGCCGTTGATGAAGTCTCGTTCAGCTGACAATCTGGTCGTGGTCGGCCAGGGCGTCTAGGATGCTGCCCGTGTAGTCGGACGCCGAGTCGATCACGTTGAAGAGCGAGAGGGGGCAGCGCGGGTAGGCGATGTGGCACTCGCCGACCTCCCGGCCGCGCCGCTCGGCCACCAGCAGCTCGGCCACGTCCTCGGAGAGAGACTCGTCCAGCCGGTGAGACGGCCTGCCGGAACCCGGGCGGAGCGGTCAGCGCACTGTAGGGAGGTGACGGCTGGGCGCTGTCGTGACTGACTAGGTGGCGTTGTCTCGATACGATATTTGAGTCACCCTACAACGAATACCGGGTGCTTCCTCTGGAACTTCCTTTTGCTGTTGTTTGACTGTGTCCTTTAGATCCATTACAGCCATTGCGGCAGCAATGAGCATGGCATGAGAAGAAATGAAAGGCAACAGGTTGATGGGGTTCACCAACTGGGCTGAGTCTGTCCTGAGATCAGACATGAAGACACCCAGCTGTTCCAGCGGTTACCCAGTTGAGAATTTGCCCTGATTGCAGTTGCTTGCTTAGATAACCTTGCTTGCTTTGATAACCGGTGACCGTCTAGCCCGGAATCCCGAAATAGAAAACTGGTGGTCCAGGGAAGGGAACTCTACCTGCCTGAATATGAAAAGGACCGATGATGGCTCCAACTCCTACTTGCTGTAATAGTTTGGTACCGTCCCTTCTAGCTATTCTTAGTAAACTATTTTTACCGTAAGTAACCACTTTGTGTGCGTCCTTACGGTTGGCCGGCAGAAGTTTGAAGTTTCCGCACTCGGCATCCCACTCGTTCTCGATCATCCTGCCCATGTCGCCATGTTTACTCACGAGAGAACCAGGTTGAGGATCTCGCCGATCATGCCGTCCCTCCTGAGCGGCGCCTCAGCGACCTCACAGACGGCCCTCTGCAGACACGCGTCGCCGTCGGCGCCGAACCTGCAGGTGTCGATAAGGTGTGATCAGCGGGCGTCAGACTTGTGTTTGAGACGCTCAAAGGGTTGATATCGATATTACTGGGATATACTTTCGTCCAAAAAAGCACGACAACGTCAGTCTTCACCTCGCCAGCCCGGCTTATCATTTAGCGAGCCTCTGTCTTCACTCACTTTGACATCATGGTTTTGAAAGTGTTGTAGAGTATCCTCTTGTCCATCATCACGCGGGCGTTGCTGCCCAGGGACCTGCCGGCGGCGTCGACCAGATTCGCAGGCGGAACGTACGAGATATCGGTCTTCATCTGCACCCTCAGTCCTGGCGGGCATTGGGGTAGGGGTTACATCAGTCATCAGGGGGCGGGAGGGGGCCCACATCAGGTGTCAAGTGACAGGAGGGGTACATCAGTCTTCACCAGGGCTGCGGAGTTGGAGTCGGAGCCAATTTTTGAAGCCGGGGTCGGAGTCGGAGTTACCCGAAAACCTTTCGCCAACGCAACCCTGATCTTTACTTCAGGGGACTGGAGAGGGTCGTGTCAAGTCATGGACGCGAATGATGATGATTTGCGATTTTAGGGCACCAAGACTTCATAGGTCATTCCTGCCCATTATGGGACGCGAAAGGAAGGGGACATGGTAGATGGATGGGGAGTAGCGACCACGTCAGATGAAACACGGGTAGCGAGAGACCCATCCCATCTGCACCCACGGTCGCCGGGCGCCCCAACGTTACAGGATTATGTCGCGGCGCGCCACGTTACCACAGGATAAGTCGCCAGATCAGATTGGCCCGTCCGTGACTGCCGGAAGGGATTATGGTAACGAGCCGTGTTCTGCCACTGGGGACGAGCAGTGGAGCGCGGACATGCCGCTCCCAGTGGTCGTGACAACTGACATCTGTTTATACCGAGACAGAGTTCTAGAATCGGTTGAATTACCGCGGTTGAATTCAGTGTTCGTTTAACAATAGATCCACGCTTAAGAAACATTTATCAGCCCTGCCGCTAGTGCCGCTAGTGATTTAACTGCAGGTCAACGGCTCAGCAAGCAGGAATTCGGAAATGACTTCGAAATGCATGGACATTATTTTATCGAAATGTCTTTTTCGTTCGACGTAATTAATTATTTTCCATAACAGTTTCTCGCCATTCCTTGTTTATGCCTGTGCACTATGTAGTGTGTAGTCATTAACATTCGGGGGGGGGGGGGCAATGGGATTGGGCATGGGAAGTTATGATCTGGCCACATTTCGGCTATTTTTTATCATGCTGTCCCGCAATGCACCCCCCCCCCCCCCCCAGGGGTGGACAAATCTGCCGAGTTGGGGTAGCACAGGCGCAGCAAATCCGCCGCCGCCCTAGCGATGACCTTGACCTCCGCCCTCTGTTGCGGTTCCAAAGCCAAGCCGGCGTGGAATTGGGAAAGCTCGTGCTACCCCAACTCGGCACAATTATCCACCCCTTGCCCCCCCCCCCCCCTACTCAGCTGGCAGCTTTGCTCGTTGATACTGCAATTCGACATACGCTTTTTCATAAATCGTGTTTCTATCACAGAGACGGGTCGAGTGACTGAACTTCAATTTGACTTTTAAGGTCAGCTTAAAAATGGTCATGACCTGATCAAGCACGTTCAAAAGTCGTAACCTGACCGGAAAGGTCATGCTGCTTTTCAGTCGATCCGTGTTGATGAAGATGAGCACATTAACCCGCGCCCGGCTGGGGTCCTGGATTTCCACGCCGCTGGGGGGGGGGGTGTTTGAACACCCCCTTCTAACTCGGCTCCTGGGCCACGTAGCGATACGCGGAAGGCGGTGTTCGAAAGAGCGTCAAAAATAATGAGGAAATCACTTCGGTCAATTTTTTGGTCAGGTCAAAGGTCAGGTCACCAGAGGTCATTGAAGGCAAAATTTCGCCGATTTCCAGGTCGAATGTCGACAAATTCCAAGAAACCAACGCATAACTCGGGAACCAATAGAGCTACGACGCCGCGGAAAAGCGCATTCGATAGCCCTATTAACGCCCTTTCTGAGTAATTTCCTCAGATTTGACCTAACGTCAACGGTTTTGCCTGCAGGGGGGCAAAAACTGCAAAAATAGCCGATTTTTCGGAATCAGTTTTTCTGCAATAACTTTTGACCCAAGCCTTGTACAAGCTTACTTTTACCGGCATCGTGTTCCTCTCGTCAAGACGCATCGAATGAACTCTAACTTGACCTTGAAAGGTCAACTTGAAAATTTGACCTCAGGTCAAGGTCATGACCTGACCGGAAAGGGCCATGTTGCATATCAGTCGATCCGTATCGTCGAGCTAAACACATCTAAGGCGTTTTCATCGCTCTAGCATGCCTCTATCAAAAGTTATTTGCGAAAAACTGTTAGATACCATTCGTGACCTAAGATGACCTCAGGGCATAAACAGGGGTCACGGACACTATTTTCATGTTCAGTGTGTCTAAACCACTTGTAATTCAGTGTTTGGGAGTGTTTATAATGTCTTTCGTCCAAAAGAGGCGCGTTTCAATTTTCTCCCATTGACTTATAATGGGAAGGTCGCAAAATTGACCTGACCTTAGGTCATCGATATCAAATTTCTGAGATATACATTTTGTACATGCTATTGCTCTTAGCAATCGCTGAAAGTTTCAAAGCGATCGGTCACTCGGTGTAGCTATGACAGACATTGAAACTTTTTATGAGGTGAGGTCACTTCATGTGACCTGGTGACCTGACCTTGAATGACCTTGGTCTGAAATTTTCAAAACATGTGTAGAATTGATTATGATAAGGTGTACCAAAAACGGCGGCGCGGAGCGCCGCCGTTTTTGAGATATTCGCGAAAAACCACAAGGGGGTGTTCAAACACCACTTCCCCCAACAGGGCGCGGGTTAAAGCTGTTCCCATTGCTGCACTAGGTTTGCTTCAATCGGAAGTCTTGTAGCCATGTACTTCTGCCGGTCACCGCTAGGCCCATGTACTTCTGCCGGTCGCCGCTAGATGCTGTGAACCGCGAGTTACATTTTTGTTAATAGGTGTCGCTTTTACCAGTCTCTAAATTGCTAAAGCCTTCGATTAAGTTATGCGCCCCCCTTTTAACGTTCCGTTCGCTTAAACTGCTGTATTGTTTGGACAACTGCATTGGCTATGTGTATATTAAAAACCATATGTATTCGTTTATTACATTCGATGTTCTCGCCAACATGTGTGCAATACTAGATAAGTAAGTTCGTATGTAAAATTATATATGTCTCGATTTTGTGGCGAAATAGAAGAGATATCTGTATGTTACAGTGTCTCTACTGGCTACATCAGCCAGATTGGTGACCCCGCGTTCTGCGCACTAGGGGATCGCTATCCCCTCGTGTTCCCTGGCACACCGACACTGGCCTGCACCCTGAGCTATCTCCTCCAGCTCTCTTTGTGTAGGAAGGAAGTGGCGGATGGTGTGTCTCCACGAGGATCCTTCTTTTGTGATGTGTGGAACTGGATAACGCCGACTACTACTGCGGCCCAGCTACTTCATCGGCTCACCTCACCGTCCGGCTACCTCTGCAGCTGCACCGCAGCACCTGACGATCGCCGTGTCGCCGTCGCCGCAACCGATCTTCCCGACCATTGCTCTCGGCAGCCATGGACCAGAAGACCCAGCCTGCCGGCGCCGGTGCAGCCGCCGCCGCCGCCTCGCATGCCGCTGCTGCTGCCTCCGGTGCCGCTGCTGCTGCTGCCGCTGCCGCCCAACCGGACTACCTCCGCATGGCGACCGCGCCACGCAGCCACGTCGCGCCGCCGCGCTTCTTCGAGGAGGACCCCGTGATCTGGCTCGTCCAGCTCGACCTCTTCTTCTCTCAGGCAGCTGTGGACGATGAGCTCAGCCGCTTCCGGATCGCCGCTACTCTCCTTCCTGGCCACCTCCTGCGCGACTTCACTGACATCCTCCGCAACCCTCCTCCAGACCGACCTTACACCATCCTTTCCGACGCCATCCGTCAGCGGTTCGGCAAATCAGTCGAACAGCGTCTTCGCTGCCTGCTCTCTGGCCAACAACTCGGCGACAGGCGTCCTTCCCAATTCCTTCGGCATCTCCTGGACCTTGCTGAAGCTGAAGGCTCACAAGATTCCCCGCTCATCCGCCAGATCTTCCTCAATGCTCTTCCGCCTCGGACTCAGCCCTTCCTCCAGTGCCTGCCGCCTGGGACGGATCTTGCGACCATCGCTAGCACTGCCGACCGACTCCTGGAGCTTCCGCAGCAGTCGGACGTCGCTGCACCTACCTCAGGCCTTCTCGCCGCGGTATCGACTTCTGCGCCTGCTGCAGCCTCACCTGCTGCTCCTGCAGGACCTTTCCACCTCCAAGACCTGATGAGCCAGCTGCTGACTGGTATCACGGCCCTCACAACATCAGTCGCCACACTGGTGGACGAGACGCGCCGCCGAGAGAGGTCTGCATCCCGTGCCCCCGGCCGCGCTCGCCACCGTCCACCACGCGACCTGTCTGCTGCTGCCCGGTCACCCAGCCCTGCAACCAACACGTCTACCGGCGCTGGTGCTTCCTTCTGCTGGTACCACCACAAGTTCGGTACCAACGCGCGCTCATGTCAGTCACCGTGCTCGTGGTCTGCAACCGCAACTCAGACTTCGGGAAACCAACAGTAGGACAGGTGACACAGACGTCTGCACCTGCCCTGCTCAACCCTGACGTCCCTCCAGCCAGCGGCCTTCTGAGACTCAAGGACAACAACACTGGCATCACCTTCCTCATCGACACTGGAGCCGAGTACAGTGTTCTTCCAGCGACACCCACCGATCGTGCTCGCGGAACCAACGGACTGGATCTGCAAGCAGCCAACAACAGCAGCATCCAGACCTATGGTCAGCGCATGCTCACGCTTTCTCTCGGCCTCAGAAGAGATTTCAACTGGATCTTCATCATCGCGGACGTCTCCCATCCTCTCCTAGGAGCCGACTTCCTCTCCTCGTATGATCTCCTCGTCGACACCAAGAGAGGCCGTCTCATCGACCACCTAACTGAGTTGTCTTCACCTGCTTCCCACTCCTCAGTGCCATCCACCGGACTGACAGCCGTCGTCGGAACCGACAACCCAGCATTCCTTAACCTCCTTCGAGAATTCCCCAGCCTCACCCAGCCGTCACATCATCCGGGACCACAGCACTCAGTCCGACATCACATCGAGACTACCGGCCCTCCGGTCTTCTGCCGCCCACGCCGTCTGGATCCAGCTCGACTCGCCACTGCCAAGGCAGAGTTCCAACGCCTTCTCAGTCTCGGAGTCATCCGACCCAGCAGCAGTCGGTATGCATCACCGCTGCACATGGTGCCCAAGTCGTCTGGAGATTGGAGACCCTGTGGTGACTACCGTGCACTGAACCGCATCACAGTGCCTGACCGGTACCCACTACCACATCTCCACGACTTCACTGCCTGCCTCGCTGGGACATCGATCTACTCTCGGCTCGACCTCGTCAGGGCCTTCAACCAGATACCGATGGCCCCAGAAGACATCGCCAAGACAGCGATCACAACGCCCTTCGGCGCCTTCGAGTTCCTCCGTATGCCGTACGGTCTCCGGAACTGCGCTCAGACCTTCCAAAGGTTCATGGATCACATCCTCCGTGGCCTCGACTTCGCCTTCGTCTATGTAGACGACATCCTCATCGCCAGCAGCAGCATCTCGGAACATCTCATACATCTCCGAGAGGTCTTCAGCCGTCTTTCCCGCAACGGTGTGCTCCTCAACCCATCGAAGTGCGCCTTCGGCATGGAAAGCATCTCCTACCTCGGCCACCAGATCTCCAGCGGAGGCATCACTCCTCTCGACGATCGAGTCAGCGCGATCAAGAACTTCGACCGTCCAGAGTCAAAGAAGAGCCTCAAGAAGTTCCTGGGGATGATCAACTTCTACCACCGCTTCATCCCACACGCTGCTGCTCTTCTGGCACCTCTCCACAACCTGGCTGCCTCAGACGACCGAGCTGCTTCAGTCACGTGGACCTCAGAGGCAGACGCCGCCTTCTCTGCAGCCAAAGCCGCCCTCGCTGACGTCACCCAGCTCGCTCATCCCGTCAAAGATGCAGCTCTGAGCCTCAGCACTGACGCCAGCAGCACGGCAGCCGGCGCCGTGCTCCACCAGCGAGTTGGTGGTTCTCTTCAGCCTCTCGCCTTCTTCTCGCGCAAGTTCACGCCCACCCAACGCCGCTACAGCACCTTTGGACGGGAATTGCTCGCCATGTACCTCGCCGTGCGACATTTCCTGCCCTATCTGGAAGGACGCGACTTCGAGATCCTCACGGACCACAAGCCGCTCGTCTTTGCTCTCAAGGCCAACGGCAACGCCAACCATTCTCTCCGTGAACAACGTCACATGGACCTGATTCTGCAGCACACCAGCAAGATCGGACATGTTCCTGGACACCTCAACCCGGTAGCTGACGCCATCTCACGGATCAGCTCAGTGTCTGCGCCAGCTTCTGCCGCAGCTACACCTTCACCCGGCCTTCTGAGCTTGGCCGACATCGCCCTACACCAAGCCAACGATCCTGACCTGCCGAAGCTGCAACAATCCTCATCTCTGATCATCCGTGACTTCCCAGTCCCTGATCATCCTCATCTACGTCTCTGGTGCGACACCTCAACGGCCACACCTAGACCTGTAGTCCCAGCCAGACTCCGCCCTTCCATCATCAAGAGCTTCCACGACTTGTCTCATCCTGGCATCAACGCTACGCGTCATCTCATCTCATCGAGGTTCATCTGGCCCCACATCAACGCGGACATCCGTGCCTTCGTCCGGAGCTGCCAGCACTGCCAGCGTGCCAAGATCCAGCGCCACACGAAGCCACCCATGGGCAGCTTCCAGCCACCTGACTCTCGCTTCCTGCACATCCACATCGACCTTGTCGGACCACTTCCTCCGTCCCATGGCAACTCCTATCTCCTGACTGTCGTCGACCGCTTCACCCGATGGCCCGAGGCCATTCCTCTGCCCACCATGGACGCCGTCACGGTGGCTCGGCATCTCGTCAGCGGCTGGATCGCCCGCTTCGGAGTACCCGAACTCATCACCACCGACAGAGGATCCCAGTTCGAGTCCCGCCTCTGGACAGAAGTCTCCAAGCTTCTCGGCACCTCTCGGATCCGGACCTGCGCCTACCACCCAGAAGCAAACGGGATGGTAGAGCGCTTCCACCGCCAACTGAAGTCAGCTTTGCGGACCGATGACGACGCCGTCTCCTGGTCGGACCGACTTCCTCTGGTGCTACTCGGAGTGCGCACGACCCTCAAGGAGGATCTCGGATGCACCGCTGCAGACCTAGTCTATGGTTGCAGTCTCCGACTTCCTGGTGATTTCCTCTCCCCCATGTCGTCGGACACTTCTTCTGATCCGGCTTCCCTAGCCTCTCGTCTCCGTGCCGCCATGTCGGAGCTCCGTCCAACTCCTCCTCGTCCTGGCTCCCGCCAAATCTTCATCTCTCAAGACATGCAAACCTGCTCCCACGTCTTCATCCGACGCGATTCGCATCGCTCTCCTTTCCAATACGTCTATGACGGTCCTTATCGTGTCCTATCCCGCGACCAGCACACCGTCACCATCGACCGTCTCGGGCGACGCGACACCGTCACCCTGGCTCGGTGTAAACCGGCCTTCACGGACAACATGCCTGCCGCAACGCCGCCTGCAGCACCGGACGTCCTGGTGAACGACACGCCTACTACAGCGACAGACAGCTCGGTGGACCGCCCGCCTGCTGCATCGCCTGCACCCAGCCGCTCAGGTGCCCCCGGCGGCTCTCGCCCGGCTCGCCGCGTGCCGCCGGACCCGCCGCCTGCTTCGCCACCCCCTCTCCGTCGTTCGTCGCGTCTTCGCCGCCAAACATCTTTTTATGGTGTTTAACTAGGGCGGGGGAGTGATGTAGCCATGTACTTCTGCCGGTCACCGCTAGGCCCATGTACTTCTGCCGGTCGCCGCTAGATGCTGTGAACCGCGAGTTACATTTTTGTTAATAGGTGTCGCTTTTACCAGTCTCTAAATTGCTAAAGCCTTCGATTAAGTTATGCGCCCCCCTTTTAACGTTCCGTTCGCTTAAACTGCTGTATTGTTTGGACAACTGCATTGGCTATGTGTATATTAAAAACCATATGTATTCGTTTATTACATTCGATGTTCTCGCCAACATGTGTGCAATACTAGATAAGTAAGTTCGTATGTAAAATTATATATGTCTCGATTTTGTGGCGAAATAGAAGAGATATCTGTATGTTACAGTGTTTCTACTGGCTACATCAGCCAGAGTCTCTTGCTGAAGAAAGTGATCTTTTCATGACGTCTCACGACTTCGTGGCATAATGTAGGCCTGTAGGGTTATTATGACTTATGGGTACATGTGTGCGATTTAGCATCCAATTCAGACCTCTTTTATTACAAACAATGTAAGCGAGTATTTATAATGACTCGTGGAAAAAGCCAATGGACGATGGCCAATCAAAACAAATTGTTGGCTTAGGACATCCTTAATGAAAAATTAGGTGTAGTTATATCAGCCTACGCGATATGTGATTGGTCATGTGATCGTAGTGGCCGATTTGATCTGAAACCTTAATCTTTCGCAGCATCCAGGTAGTTTCGAACGCATTTTATCCTATGTCTGTGAATGTTATCCTAATTTAAACGGTTCAGAACTGTGGTTGAACGAAAGCTTAGCCGATGCAAAGTGCCCCGGATCCAAACCATGCTTCGAAACTCTGCTGTAACTCCCATTCGAAATTAGCTCAGACGTGACAGACGTTCAGTCGGTTTCAGAATGATTGCAAAAATAAAATTAGCGGTTACCTACCGATAAAAAGCGCTGAAGGCAATCATAGCCTTACCGTCCAATTATGCCTAAAAGTTTAAACTCTTATTTGTTATTACAATTAGCAATTGGAGTGGGAACATCTGCTCCAACAGCCTAACTAGTCCCGAGTTAAACGCGCACATCACTATGTCTTGGTTGCAACTTTCAATATTGCTGGGCTCGGATTGATCCGATTTATCCACCTAATAGCTTCATTTATTCAACAAATTGCTAGTTGGATGGCGCCATAAATTAGTGTCACAAAGTAGCACCTCCTACCGTAAAGCAAGAACCCAAAGCCGTGGTGCCTGGCGTAGAGCTCAGGGTGTTCTGTGACTCTGAGCAGCGCGCCGTGCGATGGGGAACCTCCCCCTGATGTGTACTTACTGCCCATGTCGGTATCGTCGTACAGGTTGAAGGCCACCTTGGGCTCGAAGCCCAGCGCGAAACCGTTGGGGAGCAGCAGCTCGCGCTCGGCCTTGGTGAGACACCGGCCGTCCCTGTTGCGCTTCTTGCACTCGACCGTCTTGGTCTCCTTGCGCTTCTGGGCGTGGTAGTCGCGGTAGTCCTGCTGGTAGTTTTGCTGATAGTTCTGCTGGTAGGAGTGCCCCTGGCGCGACTGGACCGTCTGCTTGGCCTCCTCGTTCACCCACTGCTGGCTCCAGGGGTCGAACTTCCATTCGGCAGCGACCGTCACCACCAGCAGGGCCATCAGCAGACAGTGGGGCCGCACCGAGCCGGACATCGCGACAACACTGGGTGATGGGGCTCAGAAAACTGTTTGAGCTGCTCCGGAGGCGAAGAAGTCACTTTAGAGGCCCGTTCACAGACTGTTGCGCTCTCAGCGACTGTCTATTTGCCGGCTTGGTCGCTGAGCTGTCGGGTTGCTGGCGGGGAGCCCGGGGTGCGACTGACCCTCCGTCCGGGCCACCCTTTCGCTCACACCTCGTCGAGGGGTCCTGACCGGGCACCGACGCCGATCGCATCTCAGTTCACCCCTATTGGCCGGCCGGCGTGTGACCTCGGTGCGCGCCTCCCCGCGCCCACCGGAGGGAGAGAGCGGCCCAGCGCCACCGACCCCATTGCATATCGCGAGCACCGCCAATGATTATTGGAATTGCCGCCGGCCAAAGATGTGCCCTGTCGCGACGCGCGACGCCACCTCGTGGTAAAAAACGAAGGACGCGGCGCGAAAGTGGCGCCGCTGCGCGCCGGTGGCGTTAGCGGCGCGTCTGTTACGCGGCGCTGCTGACACGTAAAGATGACCGGACAGATGGGCGGCTGTCGTCGGCCGGCGGTCGCCGCTCCGATCGTGTCTGTGCAGAAAACGGGCCGGCCCGGAGCCGATGAAACATTCATTGCGTCTCGGCCCGGACGCCGCTGTCGGCACGTGATGGCCCGCTTGGCGGCCGGGGAGACGCCCCGGTCACCTGCTCCGGGCCAACAGCCATTGCCGCTGACGGGTTGACATAATCTGAGCGTTCGTCGTGTTTTTAGCTCCGCTGAGGGAAGGACTAAATCTGCCCCCTTCCGTGTTTCTCCAATATCTTCCAACTTCTAAGCGATTTAATTCAGCTACGTCAAACATTCAGTACCTTATCATGCACCTATTAGACATGTCCCTTGAGGATATGAATAAACAAAATCTGTTCAAACGTTTTGAAAAGATGACATTTTAGTCAGGTCATGTCGCACCATTTTCGCTTTGAAAATCCTGAACACCAATAGCGCTAACATCTTCAGTTTTGTTTGAGAGCAACTAGACGTAACAAAAAATAATTTGCTTCTACCTTTTCTTTCAAATGGCTGTCTCATTTTTGTTGAAAATTTTGCATTATGATCCTAAATTTTAAAAAAGCTAGAGCCAAAATCCAAAGTTTCGAGTTTGTGAAAAAATGGAAACAGTTATCAGAGGTGCATAACGTAGGGGAAGCGGGGGGAGCACCGCCACCTTAAGCATTTCTGCTCACCGAGCTGATATGCGTAGTAAAAACGAAGCTCTTTTGCATTCATGTGAAAGTAGGAATGTTTTCCTACATGTTGGCATAGTTTCCAGCGCTCTATTATAAAATTTCGCTAAATTACAGACATTGAAAACAAGTCCTGCATTTTCCGTCCTCCAAAAAATGTGCGGGTAGCACCGCCACTGATGGCGATGTTATCCACAGATCGGCCTTACGGTGACAGCCACCCTTGGAAGCGTTACTGCTGTCTGAAATAGTAACTCAAACTCATATAAGACACACAAGAGTTGGTTGTTAGTTTGTCACAGATCAGACTGTTTGTTGCGGACAATATGCATACAAAGCATGACAAATTCACGTTTATTTCGAAACATCCAGTGAAGTCAAACGTGAGGTTAAAAAACAGACGACGTTTGCGGCCTAACTAAAGCTCTTCTCCGAGCTGAGTGAATCATCATTGCGGCTTTATCCATTTTGCCACCCCTTGGGGTAGCACCGCCGAGCATGGCGGTGTTACCCACACACAGTCATGGACCGACAACGCCCCGACAGCAAAACAAGCCGGGACGCGATTCCTCTGTAATTCCTTTCTAAACGAAGAACACTTCATGCCCTCAAATTTAACGTAAAAATCAAGGCATTTTGACTTGAAATGACCACTTACTTGCTGCTAAAACATGCCAAATGATTACAACGATGGATTGAAATTCACAAAATGGGCAATTGCGATCTCAAAATCAAATAAATCTTAGCGAAACTTACGCACGAAACTTACGCGAAACCTCACGCGGCGTCCCGTTTCCGTTCGGACACCGAAATGGCGGGTGTTTACATTTACAATTCAGAGTTTTGCCGATAGAGAGGATGGCGGTGTTTCCCACATGGCGGTGCTACCCCCGCTTCCCCTACTGCTAAGAGCCACATACATTCCATATTTTTTACAGACAAATCGGTCCCAAAATGTAACAGATACTGAACTATTACTTATTACTGAGACGTCAAGACAAACATAAAATATTTTAGACAAACATAACATATTTTTGAGGTTCTAGACATTGTACAGAATTATAAATAACATCATTCGATTTGCTTTTAAAAAGGCATCAAATAGATACCATTTGTGCTCTTTAACCCGCGCCCTGCTGGGGGGGGGGTGTTTGAACACCCCCTCTTGTGGTTTTTCGCGAATATCTCATGATACACATGTTGTGAAAATTTCAGACCAAGGTCATTCAAGGTCAGGTCACCAGGTCACTCGAAGTGACCTCACCTCTTAAAAAGTTTCAATGTCTGCCATAGCTACACCGAGTGACCGATCGCTTTGAAACTTTCAGCGATCGATAAGGGTACCAGTATCTATCAAATGTATATCTCGGAATTTTGATATCGGTGACCTAAGGTCAGGTCAATTTTGCGACCTCCCCATTAGGTATAAGTCAAAGGGAGAAAATTGAAATGCGCCTCTTTTGGACGAAAGACATTATAAACACTCCCAAACACTGAATCACAAGTGGTTTAGACACACTGAACATGAAAATGGTGTCCGTGACCCCTATTTATGCCCCTGAGGTCATCTCAGGTCACGAATGGTGTCTAACAGTTTTTCGCAAATAACTTTTGATAGAGGCATGCTAGAGCGGTGAAAACGCCTTAGATGTGCTCAGCTCGACGATACGGATCGACTGATATGCAACATGACCCTTTCCGGTCAGGTCATGCCCTTGACCTGAGGTCAAATTTTCAAGTTGACTTTCAAGGTCAAGTTATAGTTCATTCGATGCGTCTTGACGAGAAGAACACGATGCCGGTAAAAGTAAGCTCGTACAAGGCTTGGGTCAAAAGTTATTGCAGAAAAACTGTTTCCGAAAAAAATCGGCTATTTTTGCAGTTTTTGCCCCCTGCAGGCAAAACCGCTGACGTTAGGTCAAATCTGAGAGAATTACTCAGAAAGGGCGTTAATAGGGCTATCGAATGCGCTTTTCCGCGGCGCTGTAGCTTTATTGGTTCCCGAGTTATGCGTTGGCTTCCTGGAAATTGTCGACATTCGACCTGAAAATCGGCGAAATTTTGCCTTCAATGACCTCTGGTGACCTGACCTTTGACCTGACCAAAAAAGTGACCGAAGTGATTTCGTCATTATTTTTGGCGCTCTTCCGAACGCCGCCTTCCGCTTATCGCTACGTTGCCCAGGAGCCGAGTTAGAAGGGGGGTTTTCAAACACCCCCCCCCCCAGCAGGGCGTGGAAATCCAGGCCCCCAGCCGGGCGCGGGTTAAAACTAACTTCAAAACTTGACATTAACCCTGACTTTGACCTGACCTCGACCTGAGTTAAAGGAAAAGGGCCACCTTTAACATGGAGATTGAAACTGAGATAGCCATCTTGTAGCCCGTGTCCGAAAACCTATCTGTGTACCTCCTTACGGCCGATTTCGGCCTCCATTCGTAGTTATCGGCAATTTTAAAAGAAAACACGCCAGGAATGCGTCCTTATCCCAGGAATGCGTTCTTATCCGACAATACAGCCACCCGCGGCGAGGCTTTGGTTTTTTACCAATCAGCTCCAACCAGCTCAGCTTTAACCAATCAGCTTATCTGACACAATCCGACGAGTCTGTCTTCTGAACGCTGATTGGCTTGAGTGTGACGTCATCGCTATGCCATCATACAGTAGGTGCCGTAGCCGTATCAACATAGTACCAATATGTTAAATAGTTTTAAATACTTTTTCGCGAATTGTGCACTTCTGGCACCAGTTTTAAAAAAAGAAAATGAAAAATAATAATGTCAAAATGAAAAACAACGATATCTTCATATTTCACGAAGGTGGCCCTTTTCCTTTAAATCCAGCTATGGTCCAAATCACTGATAACGGAGCGAGCGAAGCGAGCGTAGTCTTTCGGTCTTCACTGATATTTTTATGCGAATCGATCCTTAGCCGCGGTAATAGAGTTGCAAAGTTTTCCCTATGGGCTGCTACCGGCACCGCCCCGCCCCACAAAAATTTTCTGGGATACCGGCATGCTACCACGCCCCAAGCAAAAACACCGCCAAATTACCGGCATACTAAAAAACCTGCATTCTTGATTCTGGCTTACCCCTACATGAGATGCCACATTTTGGCAATTTCAGTTAAAGCCCCACCCAGCAGCCACCCATTGTCCAACCAAAACTCCAGCAGCCTGCTTTTGGCTGAGTTGGCCCCACAAATACCACAATTTTGAAACTCAATTCCAGTTTACAGCTGTTAAAATATCACCCGTAAACAAAGAGGTATTGCCTACAAAAAGCCTACACACATTCATCAAAAAAGCAAGGTAAAAAAAAAACTTGAATTACTGAAATGTGTTCCTGAAGACTGCACAGTGAGCAGCAATCACATTTACCACAAGCGTTCTTATTTTCCACATTGCCCTAAAATGAACTATAGCTAGTCATAAATCACAATTGCAATATAAAAAAACTACAGATTTGGCCATGTTCCTAACTGAGGAAGCGAGATCAGCATCTGCTTTTTCCTATCCGCCATGGCTTGTTGGGTCGTGAGAAAGATACGAATCATGTAAAAATATGTGTTAATAACTCACTTGTCCTGAGAAGTCACCAAATAATATGTATAAAAACGATATAATATCCTCTCCCATCTCAAACGCGGGAACAAACACAAGTTATAAAGGATCGAAACGAAACAGATGCGCCATAACACAGTTTTTAACCAGCTGATTAAAACACTGCAAAAAAGTTTTAGGACTGCAAACTACTGCCTCGTGAATGATTTTTTTTTATAAAAATCATCCAACACGATATTAAAATCCAATAAAATCAACACTGTGTTATTCACTACAAGAAAATCCACTTCTCTTGAGTAATTTAACCAAAAGGGCATATGAATAAATATTACGTCATCAGCTTACATCCTTTTTTTAGGGGACAGAGGATCTTAAAAGTCAATCCTTG